GACACTTCTGTGTTGTGATCTGACCTTTAAGAGGGGGCATGTCTTCCTCATTTAGCAGGAGGGTGTAAAAGAAATGAGAATTCATCTTATCCCACATCATGCATATAATGTGGAAATTGGGGAACTTTATAATGTGAACCTTAAAACTCCAGAGCAGTCTTCACTGGAGAGAGAGGCATGTAGGAAGCCTCTAGTTAGGCTAAACAAAATCCTGTCTAAGCTTTAAGTATGCTTAAAGTTGCTGCTTAACAGAATTGAAGATATATGTTTGATGTAAATGCTTTGAAGAGCCCTAGTAGATCAGTGTAGAGACGGTACTGCTTAAATAGCTTGTGCAGTGCCTTTAAATTGCGAACACAGGTAAAATATAGCACTTAAACTATACTTATTGTAAAAATTAGTTTCCAGCAGAAGCTAGTGTGAAAGTTTATATATACTGCCTGTGCTGAAAAATGTATGAAAGTGTTAGTGAATAACCCTAGCTTTTAAAATAGTCATGAAATAGTTTACCACTATTTAACTGTGCATCTTTCTTAATTATATGAGGAGACTAAATTGAACAGACTAAGGTAGACAAAACCACTTTTATACTTTAAAAGCAAGGGACAGTGATTGTCATATAATATTTGATGGAACATATTTATGTCAAATGCCAGGTGGATGCCAACTTTGTTTCTATGCTGTCGCTTAATATGTGATTCCTTCTAGAGTGTCCCTTAGTGAAATGTCATTACTCACATACACAGGCCAAGAAGGTGTGTTTAAAAAAAAAAAAACCCCACCAAAAATAAACAAAACCCAAACAACCAAATCTAATACTACCACAGGCTCTGAAACAATGAATTTTAACTACGTATAACTCTTACAGATTTTTTTGAAGTTGCATCATCTTAAAATGAGTATTTACTTTTAAAAAATCTTAGATAATGATACAGTATTTTAATAAGTGTTATTTGTTTCTGATGTAGAGGTGGATTTGATTTGCAGCTAGGTGAAAGATGTTAAATTGTTGATTTCAGTTTACCAAGGAATTTAAACATTTTGAGACAAGAAATGGATTTGCTGATGGTTGAGTTGAATAAGCTATCTTGAAACCTCTATCACAAACCTTAGTAAAACTTCTGCCTTCTTGTTGAGGTGCTGAACTGTGGAGTCTTAATTTCAGATGCTCAGATTTGAGAAATTTGCTTAGGCAAATAGCATCCTGTAAAATTCTCATATGCCAGTAAGCTTCTGTATGACTTCTGCTTTTAAGGTACTCTTAAGTTCATTGCATTTCTTAGCAAAATAAAATTATTTTTATCTAAGCGTTTCAAACTTTAAGTATCTTAAGTCTGTTTTTAATGAAACTTAGGCTAAAAAGTTACTGCTTAGTGTTCTAATCAGTATTCAACTTTTAACTAAAGACGTGGAAATTTTTTAACATAAGATCAGAATTGTTGTCTTAGTGGGAATTTAGGTGTCAAGGTGAATTTGCAAGCTAAACATGCAACAATTTTTTTTCCCATTATACTTACTCAAACTCAAAGTGCTAAAAATTTTCTCTAAGTTGAATATAAAGTGTTAATATTTGGTACATCAGACTTCTATCATACGCTGTTTTGATGGATAACAATTTAATTTATAGTTGGTGTTCTTGAAATAACCATGGAGTTTAAAGAAAACTACTAGTAGTCTTAAATTGGATATCAGTGATTTTTTTTTTTGTTATTCCTAAAAGCAGTCTGAGCCAAATTTATAATTAAAGCATAGTAACAAATATAAGCAATAAAGCTAACTCTTATCAGTTGATTTGTTAGCAGTCTGTTAGCCCTGTATTCCATCCCTAGAAAGTTTCCTGTAACTTCCTTTCTGGAAACTTTCTTCTCATATACATAATGGAATTTTGTGTTCTTCGATATCTCATAGTTAATGTATATTCATTTTTTTTTAAAGATGGTATCACAAAAATCCAGGCCTGATTAACTTGAGTGTTAAACTAACTCCATTGTATTGCATGAGTTAGTGTTTCCACTGTTTGGCATATGTAGGATGTAACATTTTTGTTGCCATTAAGCAAAACACGGCTTGATTTAATTGTAAGTATTTGAGTGTAAAAGTGGTAGTTAGCATGTATTTAAAGAAAGAACTTGAAAAGAAAGCAAGCTTTTTCTTATACTGGCACTGTTTCTCAGCAGGATTTTTCTCTATGCTTGCAGGTTTTGACTGAACTGGGTTTGACAATGTCAGGCTTTGGCAGCACAAGTGACTTGAGTTTCTGTTAGCTCTGCTGCAGCAGTCTGTGGTGTGGATGTGAGAATGGTGCCAATCTTTGCTTAAAGCAGAGTTGCTGAAGTTTTGAGCTATTGCATTAGTAATTGTATCTCTCATTTGAGAGCAAAATAAAAATGTTGTCTTTTCACTTTTGTGGCTGTTGTGTAATGTTCGGGAGGAAGACAGGCCTGTGGATGGAGGAGCAAAAAGTAAACTAGAAAAAGATGCTGGGGGGAAACAGGGAAATATAGGTTGAAGCAAGAAAAAAAGAATCTGGGGAGTTTAGCTTGAAGAAATCTAGTGATTGGGTAGAAGTTGTAGTAAGAATAGGTTGAAGTGAGGGAGGAGTTGGAAGGGAAGATAACTGCAACAGAGGGGCCCAAGATTGAGAGGTAAAGGGTAGAGGCAAGGATGAACAAGTTTTGGGAAGCAGATTAGGATTTTGAAAGAAGTCTAGTTATGCTTTCATAAATTTGGATAGAAAGTGTCAGAGTGAGTTTGCGTGTGCAGTTACAAACATTGGTCTCCTCTAAAGCTCAATTATTTGACTTTGCATGCCGAGTGTTATTTTGAGATGAGTTTACGCAGCCTTAAGTTGTATGGCAATACTCAAATGAGTGCGTTTTACAGAGATGACTACTGAGTTTAAAACTGACTGGCTTCTGGTTGTCATGTTAAAAGTGATTCAGATTTCCTGAATTACTGACTAAATACTTCTTGCTTCTTCTTTTAGACGGGGCTTGAATCCACCTCACAGAGTGAAGTCAATTTCAATGACTACTTTCACACAACAGGAAATAGAATTTCTGCAGAAACATGGAAATGAAGTAAGTATTATTTGGAGAGTATCAAGTGGTTTTGGCACTTTAAAATTAAACTTTAAAACACTAATTAAGGAAAACTTGATTTTTTTTTTGTAGCAAAAAATAGACAGAAGTCTTTTGAAGCCAACATAATTTGAAGTGATGCTTCTAAAGAGCTTGTTTCACTTAGCTAGCTGATCATCATAATGTTACATGTTATTGCCCAACCCAGACAATCTAGATTCACATGGTCAGTATTTCTGAATTGGATTTTCTTTTGCTTTTGCATAAGGCAATATGCAGCTGTCTTTTTCTTTTTTTTTCCTGAGACTGACTGCAGCAGTCTTTCCTGAAAGAGCATACCGTGACAAAAATAAGTTTGTTGCTTGTAGCTGTATTTTGTCTGAGTAGGTGTCAGAAAGTCGTCTAGCAGTTTCAATAGCCTCTTTCTTTAATGATAGTGTATCAATATTGAAGGTTCTGGAAGAGAGGAAGGAAAAGGAAGTTTTTTCCCTCTGAGTTTTGTTATCTAATAAGTGTCTATATGTTTAAGAGTGGCTTGGGGCAGCTTTGAAAACAAAGTTCTAGTGTACTGCCTTTTTGTCCTTTTTAATAGATGAAAACTAAATCTGAGGTAAATGTTGGATTGGCTCTATGGGGACACATGGAGCATGTAAACGCTGAATGTGGCTATTGCTGTCTTCAATTTGAGGATGAAGTTTGTATTTTAATACCATACTGTAGCATTGAGGATTTTAGAGGCAGCTTTTGCTTCTGTTCTGAGTTAGAAAGTGTTCTATTTCACTTTGATTGGATCTGTATTCTGTTTTGGTAGAGCTATTGATTGTAGGCTACAGAGTGTCTTAACGTGTTCTTGGGAAGCTTTGTGGGGATAAATCCCATCATTAGCTTAAGTGCTAATACTTAACTTTCTTAAACTTGGCTCATTCATAACTCTCAGGTTGAAGAATGAAAATAGAAGTAGTGATTTCTTTTTCTGTCCTGGTAAATATGCATTATTTGTTGAAATGACTGTTAGTGAATGATTCCTCTAGACAAAGCTGGAACAAGGGCTAAACTCTTCCAGACATTATAAAATACTCTTAACAGCTTTGACCAGTCTTTTTGGAATTGTTTTGGCATATTAAAGCTGTATAACCTTGTGTTTATATATCTATAGAATATTGTTGGCTTTTTGCAAAGGGAGAATAATAAAGAATCTTTTGTGGGTTCAGATACAGTACATTGGAGTCTCTTTCCATAAGATTAGATTGTAAACCTCAGCTTTGCTTTAAGCTTCACAAGCATAAAGGAAAACGAGTGTGTGTATGTATACCTCCCTCCCTCCCTTCTGGCATCTGTTTTAATTTCAGTCATCTGCAATGGCTAGAGAATGCTGCTGGTTTCATTTTTCACTGATCTGGAACCTTAAGTGATCCCTAATCAGTTGATTAGTGTCGTTGTCCTTCTCATTATAGTCCTGACTAGTCTGCCAATCATAATGATTTAGTTGATACATAATTTATTACTGACATAAAGTTCACAGTTCTCTGCAATACTATACTATGTTTCAGAAGCAGAGGTCTTTGTGTTTGTAGTATTTATTCCTCTAATTAAAGTACTGCAATGATTTAAATGAGCTACCTCAAATGAAGATGTGCTCCTGAGTTTAGTTTTGGGTTGTTTGACAGCAGTGCATTGTGCTAATTTGAAAGTAGCACTGAATAGGTATTTGTAACTGCAGATGGTAGATTTAACAGGTGCTCAAACACTGAACAGAAATGATAACTGTTTTAAGCACTGGTAGAAGTTTAAAACCTAATTAAACATATATTCACTTTGTCATGCTGTATGTTGCAGTAGTTAAACATTTTGCTTTCTCTTGTTGGTATTGGACTTTGGAATACTCACCTGCGGATAAGATAAAGTATTGGGCAGATGAAGTTCATCTGACCTCACAAAAAACTCTTTGCTTTGCTTGATCTTTGGCATAGGTGGCTGTTGTGTGTATATATTAAGAAATGAAATTTTCTAGGATAAACTTGTTCAAACATGGCACTGTTCAACATTTTTAGAATGTGGACATGTGAAACAAACTACAGTCACTAAATGGTTTAGATGTTGTAACATTCAGCTGTTTTAGTTCTGCAGCTATATATAAAAAAGCTCACCTTTTTGCAATCTGCTATGTTTAACTTCCATTTTTCTGTAGCTTGTAAAATACTTAGTCCTCCCAGTCTTTCTCCAACATGGCCAAGGCCTCTGTGGTAAGCTTTATTGCTTCCAGATGAGTAGATCGTGGTGTACAATAGGGAACTTGTTCTGAATAGGAAGGAAAATAGCAAGAAAGCTTCCCTGAGATAAGGTAGTTACTAAGGTGGTGAGTTGGTCTTAGAGGAAGTAGTTTTCCACTCTCCTTCAAAGAGTATTTATCAGGTCAATGTATTGTATGAGGTTGCAGTTCTCTTAAAAAAAAAAAAAAAAAAAAAATACTGAAATCGTACCTCTTTCCCAGCTGTCACAAATTGCCATCTTTGTGGTGCATGTGGGTGAAACACAGAGTTACTAAAAGGCTTCCACAAAGCAGCTGCTTTGGGAAGAGATTGAGAACAGCTTCTCTTCAGGTGTGAGAAGACAAAATCTTCCCTCTATATACACATCCAAGGAATGTTTTTCTGGCACAGGTAACTTGAACCTTTTTTTATTAGTTTTTACTGCTTCAAATACAGATTTAAATCTTTTTTACTGTATTAGAAGGCATCTATATTTTGGTGTTGCTTACTTATCTGCAGGTATAAACAGTTGTTTATATACAGATGTGTATAAACAGACTCTGGTTTTGCTAATGTTGGGGTTAGCTCACTTTTGCAGCAAGAATGGAGACATGTTCAAGCTGATATTCCTCAAGTGACTTCTGAAGTTCTTTTGAAGCATAAAGGCAATTCTGACTCGCTGGGTAGGATTTTTCCCTTCCTCGTTCTATTCATGAAGAGCAGTGTGAAGTATTTTCACACTATTTTCATGTTAGGAATAATGAGGAGAGAGTGGTATGGAGATGGTTGTTTAAGTGTTCATAATCAAATTATGCTAATGCTGATTAGGCCTCTGATTCAGTAGTGCCATGGTAGTAGAAAGTGAACTTGCTGTTTGCAGAAGGTGGAGGTGGTACTAATTTCATGTTGCCATTATAGCTGTGAATATTTATTCAGAAGCTTTCCCCTGAAGCTGAGAAAAGTGTTATGAGGCAAACCAGTTGCATAGTTAATTTTTCTACTACACTTTTGAAAAGTGCCAGATATTTTTATAACCTTTCCAAATAACCTATTCTAATATGCATATGGTGGAAGAAAATGATTAGGATGGTATTTGGAAAATCTGTGTTCCTCTGGGGGCAAAGACTATGTTTACCTGAACTAATGAGTAGAATGCTATGTGAGTATGCTCAGCTGCTTGGGATTAGTTTAACAGTGCTTAATTTTGTTTTGGTGCCAGTCTTCCTGACTCTTGATAGCACCTGTGCAAGTACCAGTTTCCCTGTAGTTGCAGAACTAGTAGCAGTGTGAGGCTGGTTCAGAGCTGGTATTTGGCATGACCAAAATGCTTTCCTAGAAACCCTGAAGTGGAAAGGGCAGTACTAAGCTGGAGCTGGTGAGTCCTGACAGCATGAGCTGTGCAGTCAGGTGTCTTTGTAGTACATCCCTGGTTCTGCTAATACGATACAGAGGTACATGAGCTGATTGTGTATAGAAAGATGTCTTTGTTAGCAGGGGTTTCTCATTTGGACTCTGCTTATGAAAGGCGCTGGAACTTCTGGACCCAAACTGGCTTTGAAATCAGCATACTGGTGGTATAAAATTCTTTTAACCTACAGAGATTAATGAATAATATTGACATCAGAAGTGCTGAATTACTAAACAAAGCTATAACTTGCTTACATAAGGGAACTGTTTCCAAATCTTTCTTCCTGTGGTGAGTGTTATGTTTTGGAACATAGTTTTATTGTGTGGTAATCTGTAGTTCTTTGCACTGTCAGCATTATGTTTGGTGCATAACTGAGGATATTTTATTGGGGGGGAGGGGGAGAAGAAGAAATCTAATTTGGTATTTATCAGTGTCTTGAAAGATAGTATCTCATTAGAGCTTTTTAAACTAGACTGACATGTAATCTTCCTATGCAATGGTATGTCTGGGTCTAAACAAGGAGTGCTGTGGGTCTAGTAGTGTGCTTTTTTTAGTTCAGGTGCAGCTTCTACCAGTAGAAGGACTTGTCCTGTTAGAGCTTTTCCTTGCCATGCTGCCTTAACTCTGTACAAGAGAAGGCGGCTTCATGAGGAAAAACTTAATTTTGCTGGCCTAACTGAATTTTTATTATTCCTAACTAGCACAACTATGCTAACAGGAGTTTCTAAAGTGTGGTGGCTCAATATGTTGTGTAAGCAAAAGGCCTTTGTCTCTCCCATATCCGCCTTCCCACACACACTGGAGATCTGTATCAGTGAAATAGTTATGACATGGTAAAGTGTTGTTTGGTAGTTGAAATATGTAGCACTGGTATAGAAATAACTGAAATCCCAGATTGTCTCAGGCTTTCTGCAAAATTTGATGGATGCTGCTGATTTTTTTTTTTCTTTATTAGCAGTTTTTAGTGTGCCTGTCCTTCCCCACCTTCCCAGCTCTGTAAAAAACACACGCAAAAAACTGCAAATCATGACGACAAACCTAGAAGCACAGTCAAAAGCTAAACCTCTATGGAAAACAGGTGCATTTGTGTGCCTCGGCCTTTGAGGCCTGCTTGGAACTCCTGAAAGCATGAAATGTTATTAGGAGGCTGAGTTTTTAAACCAGAAGCCCTTCTTGTCAACTTTGTTTTGTGGAGTACCAGATGTGCAATGGATGGCATGAGTTCTTTGTTCCTTTCTGTCAAATCTGAAAACAAGGGTAATTACTCAAACTGTAGCACAAAAAATGTAAATAGTGTATGGAAAACAATATAGGTAAATGTAGTTATTCTAGGAAAAACAGTTTCTCTCTCAAATAGAATAGCTGTTGAGTGCAGAGTCAGGGAAACCAATGGTATGAAGAAAAATATAGGTAAAGACTTTATTATAACATACAATATGCACTTGGCCCAGTTTCTCCTTTCAGTGATATATTTAAGTGACAGCAACTCAACAGTTTCTGCCTTGCTGCCTCCTGGGTTTTTATCTAGGTCAGGGTGAGTAGGTTGAAGATGGTTGTGATTCTCTTTCC